TGCAACAACAACTGCAGCTACAGCAGCAGCAGCAGCGGCAGCAGCAGCAGCAGCAGCAGCAGCTGCAGCAGCAGTAAAGAACGGAAACGGCAATCTTCCTGCGAATTCATTCCCCAGTGACCTCGAGAGTGTATGCACATATTTTTTTTGTTGAATGCCTGTTGTGTTTCCAGTGATATCCCAGCAGCAGCAACAGCAGCAGCTGCAGCAGCACGACGTCGAGCCAAACGGCGAGCGGCAGCAGAACAGCAGCGGCAGCAGCAGCAGCAGCAGCAGCAGCAACAGCAGCAAATGCTACATCAGTGTGCTGTGGCTGCAGCAGCGGCCCCAGCGAAAGCCAACAGAAGGTAAATAAATGCAGTCAGAAGTGCGCAACCCGCCGCCTGGCGAGGCGAGGTCTGGCTGGGGGGCCCCCCATCAGGGGGGCCCCCCTTCCCCCGGCATGCGGCCTGCAGCACAGCTGCACGAAACTCCTGCAGCTGCTGCAGCTACACCCAGGAGTACAGCAGTAGCAACGACAGCAGCAGCAACACCCGGAGCAGCAGCAGCAGTTGATGATGCTGGAGACACACCCTTAGGCGGTCTCGAAACGCAGCAGGTGCCTCCTTCTTCTTCTCAACCACATAATCATGATCAGCAGCAACAGCAGCAGCAACAACAACAGCAGCAGCAGCAGCAAAGGCTCGCAGCAACGACCGAAATAGCTGCAAAGGGGGTGCGGCATACAGGGCGTGGTGATTTCTCAGTGGCGTTTGCTGTTAGAGGCAGCAGCGGCTCAGATGCTGCTAGCAGAGGAGATGGTAGCGTGCCTTCTGCTTCTTCTTTAGCAGCAGCAGGAGCAGCAGCAGGAGCAGCAGCAGGAGCAGCAGCAGGAGCAGCAACAGCTGAGCGTTCTAACGGGGCCTTACCTGTTGGTGTATTGGTGGGTGTAAGGCCAGAGGGGGCCCCCAACGAAGTTAAGAGGAGGAGCGCACATGATGGGGATCGGGATCGGGATCGGGATCGGGACCGGGATCCATTTGCTGTTGTTGGTGGACCTGCATGCAGCAGCGGGAGCTGCAGCAGGGGTGGCGGTGGAGTCTTCTGGTTGCGGCGTCGGCTGCGGCTGCTGCTGCGGGCCCTCGAGCGTTTGTTTAGCGGTGGGGTTGTTGTTATTGTGCTTACAAGCACTGCTCTGGACCTTCACAACAACACCAGCGATCTCTTCTTGCTCCCTGCTGCGGGCCTCTATCTCCTCATGCTGCTCTTCGCTTATGTCTCTCTTCGGGTGCCTAGATGGAGGAGACAGTTCAAGTCCTACCTCCACGGTGTGTCTGCAAACCAAACACCAGCAGCTGCTGCAGTAGCTGCAGCAGCAGCAGTAGCAGCAGCAGCAGCAGCACTAGCAGTAGCAGCACAACACACACAATGTAGCTACAGTATACGCAGCAGAAGTTTAGGGGATGGGGCTCTGCCATATGCATATATATATATATATATATATATATATCTAGACAGATATTTATCTGTACATATATATATATATATATATATATTTATATTTATATATATGTATATTTATATGTTGTGAGGGGATGTTTGAGTTTGTTTTTTTTTTGTTTTTCTTCTGTCTTCTTCAGGGCGTTTCTTGGGTTATGCACATCGTGTGGATTCACGTGCTGCTGCTGCTCCTTTCTCTCCTTTTGCTGCTGCCGGGCACCAGCAGCAGCTGCTGCAGCAGATGCAGCAGCAGGCGGAGGCGCTACACGCTCACAGCCTATTGACAGACAGCAGGGGCCCCATGGGGCCCCCTGGAAGTGCACGTTTAAAAGGCAGCTGGAGACACTCAGCTTTCTTTCGAGCGCTGTTTTGCTGCAGCAGAGCTTCTCGCGGACGCAACAAGCAGCAACAGCAGCAGCAGCAACGGCAGCAGCAAGCCACAGGCTGGCAGCAGCAGCACCACCAGAAATATGACAACAATTCTGATCACCTTCCTGCTTCTCGAGCTTTCTCAGGCGAGCAGCTTAGCACCAGGAGTCCTATAGGGGCCCCTATGGGGGTATATTCTCAAGGGGCCCCCTTGGGGGGCCTCCAAGGGGGCCCCATTGGGGGCCCCCAGGGTAATGCAGTTGATGGTTATGCTGAGGGAGATGAATATCTGCTTCCTCGACGCTTTATTTCTGACGATATATCTCGCTTCTGGCTGCAATATAAAAGTAACGCTGCCAGGGGGTCGCTGTGGAGGAGCGAGAACCCTGCAGCAGCAGCAGCAGCAGCAGCAGCAGCAGCAACAGGGTGGGGTTATGCGGGTGGCATGTCGCCTGCGTTGCGTCAACGATACCCAGGGAGTTTCCTACGTGGTTATTCAAATTCTGCTTGGGGGCCCCCTGGGGGCCCCCGTGGGCTGCAGCGTTACTGCAGTGAGGCGGAAGCAGCTGGAGCTTGGTGTCAACAGCAGCAGCAGCAGCAGCAGCACATGTCATCTGCATTGCTGTTTGCTGCAACAACTCTGAATCTGTACGGAGATGAAGAGTCTCCTGCAGGAGTAGAAGGCCGCTTGCGAGATCTGCTGCAGCGGCTTGAAGGGGGGGCACGCAGCGAGGGTTTAGGTTTAATTGATGCAGGGGGACTACTATCTTGCGGTGTACAGACAGCTGGAGGGGGTGGGGTTGGTGTAGGGGGTAGCGCTGAAGAGAAGGAGAATGAAGGAGGTGTGGGGTGTATATTGAAGTGCTGGAGAGTGTTTTGTTTGCTGCTGCAGCTACTTGGTGCAGTAGCTAGGCTATGGATGCTGCCAGCCTTAACTTCTCCTGCTGCTCTTCTTGCTGTCTTAGCTCGTACACTTGCTTGGTGCGGTGTATGGTTGTGGGCAACGACTTATATGGAGAGACCTACAGATGCAAAGGGCCTATTGAATTGGTCGTTCACTTCATTGCCTGCTTCTTATGATCTTGTTGAGGCTTTGTTTGTATGGATGGTTAGCTGGGACTACTGTTTAGGGTTGCTAGCAGCAGAGTCTCCATTGCGTTATATACTGTCTCCACATGCTCTTATTGATCTTATTACTTTACCTGTCTCTGCTTATGTTATACGTCTTCTTGTTGGAGATCCTAGAGCGCATGCATACCCTTGGCTATTAGGGTTAGGCTGGCTTCGTTTTCTTCGTTTGTTAAGAACAGAAGGGGTCTTAGCAACATGCTTCCCTACATTATCTCTTGTTTGTTTGCGGGTTGTCTCTATTGGTGTCTCCTGGTTAATGATAGTGCTTACATTTGCCGGAGGTATATTCATCTTAGAGGCCCCCGATCCAGCAGCAAATTATATATCTGTGTTTGACTTATGCTTCTATGCAGTTGTTACTGTAATGACAGTTGGGTATGGGGACTTCGCACCGCGTACAGCAGCAGGAAGAGGGCTAGCTATGTGTGTTATTGTGTCTGCTTTTGCTTATTTACCTGGGGAGATACAGCGTCTAATGGAGGCATTAAGAGAGCCTCGAACAAGCTATGGGGCAGCACCTACACAAGATGAAGATTATATATGTATATTAGGGCCTATACAACCTCAGCAGCTTTCAGCATTTTGTTTTGAGGTAGGGAGGGTATTCCCAGGGTCTTCTGCTGCTCTACTTGTTATTAGCCCTTTACCTATTGCTGCTTATGTTGATGCATGTCAGCAAGCGCTAAAATACTCAGGCTTACGTATTTGCATTCGAGGGGGCCCCAAAGGTGCTGCTCTTCCTTCTGCAATTCGAAGTGCATGCGCTGAGGCCCGTGCTGTCTTTGTTTTTAGTAATAGTAGGCCATATTCTCTTACAGGTCTCAGCAGCAGCAACAGCAGCAGCAGCAGCAGCAGCAGCAGAAATCCTAAAACAGCAGAAGGGCCTTTATTATCTGCAGGGTCGGGTGAGAGCGTTGAAACAAGAGAGCAAGAAGAAGATCAGGCTACGCTGCTTCGCTTTCTAGGTGCTAGAGCTGCTTGCTTTCCTATGAGGCCTATTAGTGTTCAGCTGCTGCACGACCATAGGAAGGGACTTGTCTTTGAAATGGGGGCGTTCACTACTCTATGTATATCTGAAGTTAAGATGCAGCTATTAGGAAAGAGCTGCGCTGGCTGCCCAGGCTTCTTACCTCTTGTTGGCTGTTGGTTTGCTTACTCTAAGCTGCAAAGGAGACAGTCTTGGAGACAGTATGCAGGTCTAAACAGACGAATAAGAGATAATTTTCAGCACTATGAAAGGGGCACCACGTACACCGCATATAGATTAGAGTTTCCGAGGTGTATGCAGGGTGTCTCCTTTCTAGAGCTTGCTCGCATTCTTTATCTGCAGCATCAGGTCTTCCTTATAGGCCTTATTACTTTTTCTAATCGTATTGCTTTAAACCCGTCCAAGTATAATGTAGGTGATGAGCTTGCTGCTGCATGCACTACAAACAGCAGCAGCAGCAGCAGCAGCAGCAGCAACGCGCCCTACCGCCATGCAGATGATCCTGCAGCAGCAGCAGCTGCAGCAGCAGCAGCAGCAGATGTTCCGGTGTACGCTGGGATCGTACTCGCTCCCAACCTCGAAGTTGTCGCCCGCCTCGCCTCCGCTAAAGACATCGCCTCAAGGAGGAGACACACAAAACCTACACAAGCAGGAATGCAGCAAACAGGTTAACGCACTTCTCCTGTTGCTGCCGTTGCTGCTGCTGTTGCTGCTGCTGCTGATGTTCCTCCTGTCTCTCTGTTTCTTTGTCTTCCTATTTCTATATCTCTGTATCTGTCTCTGCGTCTCTGCCTCTGTTTCTCTCTGTGTTTCTCTCTCTCTCTCTCTCTCTATATATATATATATATATATATGTATATGCATATCCATATATACATATATATATACATATATATATACATAAATATATATATATACTTATTTATTTATCTATCTACCTATCTATCTGTCTCTGTCTCTGTGTTCGTTTGTACTGTTGGGTGCTGTTGTTTTTCTGTCTCCTTTCGGGTGTATGCGCAGCTGGGCATTCTCCTTTTGGCTGTAGGCCTGGAGGTGTCCCCTCTTCGCATCCTTCTCGTCATAAGCTGCAGCCGCTGCACGAAAGCCCTTCTCTTCATTCTATTGAAGACAGCTCTGCTGCTTCTGCTGCAGCAGCAACACAGCCAACCCCAGCGGGAACTGTCTCCTTTGAGGCTCTAGCAGCAGCAGCACCTGCAGCAGCAACGCCAGCAGCACCCACAGCAGCAGCAACAGCAACAGCAACACCTGCACCAACAGCAGCAGCACTCAGATCGAACCCCAGGGGCACCGGGAGGCACATGACGTGTGTAGACTCTCTACGCGGCAGCAGCAGCAGCAGCAACAGCAGCAGCAGCTGCAGCATGGGGGCTGTTGGTGCATCACCAGGTGTACTGGGTGGGCGTGTGGGTGCTGTAGGTGGAGGAGCAGCAGGTCCATCTGCAGCTCCAGCAGCAGCAGCAGCAGCACCAGGAAGCAGCATGCATCATTCTCAGCAGCATCAGCAGCAGCCTCATGTATCTCCTGCATTACAGGTGCAGCAGCAACAGCAGCAGCAGCAACAGCAGCAGCAGCAGCATCTTGGTGGTTTGCGCTCTGTACTGTCTCTAAATGAAGCACGTAATGGGGTGTATGAGAGCCCCAATGCTGCATTTGTGTTAGTGTGCGGCTGGCCTCGGGGCCTTCGTATCTTTCTGCATTCTTTGCTGCAGAACGGTGTATATAATGTCTTAGTATTAAGCCCTCATCAGCCTAATACTGTGGGGCCTCTTGATCTTCAGCCCTATGCTCGCTGCTGCGCATATATTAAGGGCTCTGCATTGTCTATGACAGACTTAGTAAGAGCAGGGGCTTTAGAAGCTGCTGCTGTTGCTGTCTTCTCCTGTCCGCATGTCTCTTGGAGAGCTGACTTCAGCAGCAGCAAGCTAGATACTCAAGCTATCCTAGTAAGACGCACTATACTTGCTTTATATAAACGAGGGGGGCCCTTTCCTCCTCCTCAGGGTAGGCTTCCCCCTGTCTTGGAGGCAAGAAAGAAACAAAGTGATGCTGCTGCTGCTGCTGCTGCTGCTGCTGCTGCTGCTGCTGCTACAGCAGCAGCAGCGCCAGCAAAAACGCAACCAGCAGCAACAACAGAGGGAATTAATCCACCACATCCAGAAGCAAACGAAGCAGCAACAGCAGCAGCACTTGCTGCAAGCACCAACTCACACAACAACCAGCAGCAGCTGCAGCAGCAGCAACAGCAGCAGCAACAGCAGCAAGGGACAGGGCTCCTCCCAGACTATGTCCTCGCCCCAGAGCCGCCACCACCACCAATCGACTCCGAGACACTCCTACTGCTGCAGCAGCAGCAGCTCGAGGAGCAGCAACAGCAGCAGCAAGTTCGTAGAGGCCTATCCTACTTCGGCTCCCTTCTTCCTCGACACAGAGACCCCCAGATATTCTTGGATTTAAAAGACGTGAGTCTTGCTGCTGCTGCTGCTGCTGCTGCTGCTGCTGCTTCCTTTCCTTTTCTTGCTGCTGCTGCTGCTGCTTCCTGTCTTAGTGCTGCTGCTGTCTTACTGTTGCTGCTGTTAGCAGCGTGGAAGCTGCGGTGTTTGGAGCGCATTTGCTGCTGCTGTCCCTATCTTGACTGCCACCCACCAGCTGCGGCTGTTTGCGGAAGTGGCTGAAATTGCTGCTGCTGCTGTTGTTGCTGCTGCTGCTGTTGCTGCTGCTGTTGTTGTTGCTATTTGTGCCAGTGCTTCTGTGGCTGTAACGATCTTCCTGCTGCTTCTGCTGCCTCTTCAGCTCTTTCTTTGTTTCTGCTGCTGCTGCTGCTGCTTCTTTGTCCTTTCCACTGCTGCTGTTGTTTTAACGTTGTTCTTGCTGCTGCTGCTGCTACTGTTGCTGCTGCTGCTGCTGCAGTCCACGTTGCTGCAGTACTGCGACTTCACGATGGCAGACGCCCCCAACTACGAGGCAAATCCGTACATGCGGCCGCCTTGGCTGAGGTGAGGAGACAGCTGAGGAGACACTTAAGGAGACACTTAGAGATAAAGAGACAGAAGGAGACACTTAGAGAGACACAAAGGAGACAGAGGAGGGGACAGAGATAGAGGGAGAGAGGAGGGGACAGTTAAAGGAGACAGTATATGAAGAGAGATAGAGATGAAGAGACAGGAGGCGACGCATTAAGATAGACAAAGGAGACAGAGAAGGAGACACTTAAAGAGACAGTTACAGATAAAGAGACAGAAGGAGACACATAAAGAGAGATTTGAAGAGACACATAAAGAGGCGGAGGAGACAGACAAGGAGACACTTAGACAAGAAGGAAGGAGACAGATAAGGAGACACCTAAGGAGATGCATGCGGAGACAACTGCAGCGACAAGCAGAGTTATAGATAGAGAGACGCACGAGGAGACAGACGAAGCAAAGAACAGACAGAGACAAATGGAGACAATCAAAGACAGAGATGCACAGAAGGAGACAGAAGAAGCAGAATCAGCAACAAACGAAGAACAAGAAATAAAGGAGAAGGAGACAATAGAAAGAGGCAGTATAAGGAGACAAACAATACAAGGAGACAGTAGAAGGAGACAGTATAAGGAGACAGCATGAGGAGACAGCATATGGAGACAGTATAAGGAGACAGTATAAGGAGACAGTGTAAAGAGAAAGTATAAGGAGACAGAATGAGGAGGCAGTATAAGGAGACAGAATAAGGAGACAGTATAAGAAGAAGCAGAATCAGCAACAAACGAAGAACAAGAAATAAAGGAGATAAAGAGAGATTTGAAGAGACACATAAAGAGGCGGAGGAGACAGACAAGGAGACACTTAGACAAGAAGGAAGGAGACAGATAAGGAGACACCTAAGGAGATGCATGCGGAGACAACTGCAGCGACAAGCAGAGTTATAGATAGAGAGACGCACGAGGAGACAGACGAAGCAAAGAACAGACAGAGACAAATGGAGACAATCAAAGACAGAGATGCACAGAAGGAGACAGAAGAAGCAGAATCAGCAACAAACGAAGAACAAGAAATAAAGGAGAAGGAGACAATAGAA